TTTGGAACATTTAGGCAACATTTTTATTCATGGGGCACAATGTTTTGGACTCATTTTGCATGGAATTAATGTATATTTCCATACATATAGTAAAAGAACAGTCAAAATTCTATCTAGCTTTTTTGCATGCTACGTTTTTGAAGTTTTCTAAAATTATTAAGTTTAATTTAGATTTGCATTAATGTTATGACACAATCTCATTCACAACATTTAGCTTATCAGAACCAAGTTATTATTAGCATGTAAATAACTCGAACCATGATAAGATACCTTTGTGGTTTACATCTGAAGGCCTGAGAGCCTCTTCATCCCTGTCTCCTGTGAGCCCAGTAGTTCCAAAATAGGCAGAGGCAACAGCCTGTTGATTCGCAGAGACCCTGCTATTGCTCTCTCTCACAGTGACTGGCTCTGTTGTGATGCTGTTGCTAAAGCTAACATTAACATTAGATGTTGTAACTACTTCAGCTTCAGCATAAGCAATGTTGTTTTCATCTATGTTTTCAGTAATGTTAATAATGGTAGCATTAAAAATCAGATAATCGTTGCTTGCTGTGGGTACCAATGTTCCTTGTTAACTGTGGACTGTGGAAGGCCTCCCTGAGAAGGTGTACCACCTGTATAGCTGTACCTGGTAGGCTAGTGGTTAAGGCACAGCGCTCTTGCTGCTGCGGCCCAGGTAAGGGCTTCCTGCGTAAAACACGTGCCAAATGTCAACATGCGAGTCGTCAGTGTGACGATTCACTGTGGCGGCCCCTCAATGGGAAAAGCCGAAAGTGACTTTCTACAAGATTGTACCACCTGCAGCCAACACTACTGCTGACAGCATCCCCCTTCCCACGCTAGTGGACTGGCACTTCATAATGAAAATACATGTCACCCAATGACACATCAGTGAAGCACACTGCTGCGTTTTAATAGTTTTTCAACAACAATAGAGGTGTAATCCAAGCTGGAGACTGACAGGCATTAGCAGAGGCAGTTCACTGTTGTTGTAGTATCTCTATGGGGATTGTTGAAAATACAGTTAATAGAGAAAATGACCAACCTTACCATTTAAAGGTACCCTCTAGAGTTTTGACTATGGAGCAGTGGGTTTATGAGTGGGCTTCCTTTTTGTCTGTATTGTTTAGTTGCATATTTACGCACAAGCGCAGCATTATTCATCCCATAATCCTGTTTCCTGCTATATCAGTAATACATTTTTGGTGGAAGTACACAAACAGAATAATGTGCCAACAAATGCAGTGCAGACTAAGGCTGTTAACAGGTAAACACGAACATGTCAACAAATCATGTTTTAAGATATTTTTAGTGTAATGCAGATGCTGTTTGTGAGACAAAATACATTCAGCATATTTGTTAGAATTCACACAGTGAGTTTTGGTGATTAACACTTATTGTAAACATAACTTCTGTTCATATTTATTTGAGAAAAATTAGTGATTAGTGGGAGTACAAAAGCAAATTGAAGATGAAAATTTGTGATTAGAAATTACATGAAAATTAATTGCAATGCATCAGTTAGAGCACAAATTATTTATTTTTTCCAGAGACAATTTAATTACCCACAAAGCTAGTTAAATATGCATTTTGCTTAATACCTAACACAATTTTATATTATGTTTTATTTTCACACTGACACTACTGATATGTTGATTTACACATTGGTAATTGTTTTATTTTAGTGACATAAAATACTAAAAGTCTAATATTTTGAGATGGATGACAGACAATATACAACAGGGACAACAACAGTGATATGGAGCCATTGCACTTGGCATAGCTGTGTTTTCTTATTTTAACAACTTACTCCTAATTTTCAACCTTTAAAGATAAAAAAAAAATCTCTATGCTCACATCATTCATCCATGTTGCTGTTTTTTCTGTCACATTATTGTTTCTGCACTCACAAAGTTCAGGTGATGCATGGAGTGTGCCTGCCCTGCTTTCTGACCTGATTGCACATACAATGGATCAGCTTTCTGCTAATAGCGTGAGCCTGTGCCTGTGGCCTTTACAGTGTGCACAGAATAAAGTTCAGGTGTCAGTAGTTCAACTGATTTATAATGGTGAACAGGCTGTGATTAAGTGCTGATGTCATGGGATTCCTCACCACTCATTTGGGGAATCAAGTAGTTTGTATCCAAACCAGACAAATGGGCCACTGGCTGGGTGTAACCTTTCTCATGTGCATGTTCCCTCCAATCATATGCCACTGCTCCTTGGCTCTATAAGCTGATTTTATTTATAGCCATGTTCCTCCTGTTTGTGAATTTTGTGTGTCTGTATTATGTAGCAAGACAACACCGTTGTTCATTCTTAATTTTGAGCTTTGTGTTTTCTATGCACAGAATATGCTCGCCCTTATCTTCTAATCTTGCTGAATATGTCCCAGATAATAAATTTACATCTATTACTGACAAGTGGATTTTCACAGGGATGAAAAAGTTGGGATTTTTATATAATCTGTTCAAGAGGAGAATTAAAGTTGCATTAATTGTACATACATTCCAAGCATTCAGGGGAATCTTCATCCGACAATAACATATCAAAGCAAGTGCAAATTGTCTGGAGTGGGCAGTCCATCCAGAAAAAGCAGTTTCTTAGAAACTAAAAGGAAACATATAAATTGCTATTCTTATTCTGTTCCTTCTGTAGCACTGTAGCAATTTACAAAATGTCACCTTGAAGTATCTCAAAGTTTTGAAAATTACTATAAGATTATTCGTACTGTTACTTCTTGTGGTTACGTGGAGCTTCAAATGTGCAAAGCTGCCTACAATGCTGCTTTAAAACGAGAGTGAAGTAAAGAAAAAACTTTTTCATTTTCAGACAGCATACCTAATTTACACTAGCCTACATGGAAGTGAATGTATGAAATGGGTTTTTATGTTATATTTATATCAAAGTGAGAGTTGCATATGCACCCTTCCAAATTCAGTACAGTGCGAAGATCGAACAGTTTTTATTTTCAGATGACTAAGTGTTTTAATCTCATTCTTCCATGTTTAAATGCTGTATCATGTGACATAAATAATCAGTTATCAACATACAACCAACATTAGATTTATCAACACAATGACAAATGTAAAGTTTAAATGTTGCTATTATTTTATCTTTTTTTTTTTCATTTTTTAAAATAGGAAAAAAGCCAGTTTATCATACAAGCAGATATAATTTTTAAATGTGGTGGTTGAAGCCTTGGGCTTAAAGTTGCTTTGTGAATCCAGAATTTCCATTCTAGGCAGAATGGATGCTGTCATTAGCTTAGCTTGTTCAGTTCTGTTCTAAACACTGTTTCCTGCAAACATTTATTAACTTAAAAGTTTTCCAGCAGCTCAAAGTACACAATTTCTTTTCAATAACATTTTAATAATTTGAGAATTTTATGGTACAAGCTGGTGCCTAAAAATGCACTGCCATTGGTCTTGTCTGGTCCACAGATTTGAGGCAAAATAAATAAAGTTACACTTACCATAACACTATGGGTAATTCATAGGAGATGGAATTCATTCTCTTCAACCTGTTTGCATTACCAGGTTCTCAGATACTGACACTGTCAAAACCATCGGCATCTCATAGATATGTACCATGTACCCTTTGGCATCTGAGTACTGATGCACAGGGTTTTAAATTGACTCCGGTGTTAACTCACAGCAACATTAGACACCCAGAGCGACTGCTCCGCCTGTATATTGACTCCTGTGTAAACCTAACTGGGGCAACATGACTCACTTTTTCTGCCCAAATAAGTAAGTGGGAGGACTCACCATCTGAAAATCTTTTTTTTTGTAAGTTCCACATTCAAGTTTTTCTTGTAATGATATACTGAATATTGCTCAAAAGATAAACATGGGAGTCCGATAATTTAACTCAGAGGTTACCAAACTTTTCAGAATATGTATCACTATATACCAAACCAAATTTCCCACATACCACTTCCCACTACAGATACAAAAAGACCACCTCACTTATGGAACTCCACCCCTGAAAACTGTTGATACTGCTAATAATAAATGAATAAATGTCTATGTAAATGTTTAAACTGCTTTATTTATTAGGCTGAGGACAGTTGCCTAGTAGCAATAAAAAATACAGCAAGCTGCTCTTTTAAAAAAAATAATTATTGTACATTTCAACAAAAAAGGCAAAAAATAAAACAAAAAATCCCCACCAACTGTAATACTGTCCAATGCATGGATGTAAAATGTCCAATGACACTATTTAGCAAATTGCTGCCCAGAATGAGGAGAGAAATACAAATAAATCCACTAGGACAAGCCACATAAAGGTGAAATTTTAACTGCCTTATCTCCCCAGGAAACAAAAAAGATCTATCATCAAAACAAACAAAGGAGACAAAGGACACAGCACATGCCTAAACAAGAACAATCCTGAACAAAACCCCATCTTGTCATAGCCCGGCTCTTAAACATGACAAAAACAAAAGGTGAACACCAAATTGCCAACAAAACAAACTATTCATTAGCCACAAGATTAATAAAACAAAAACATGAGCTGTGTTAGTCAGTCAAATCAGCAGTGTAAGTGTTGTTGCATGTAATATCATGTTGTGATGTTGAAAAATGCATGCAAAATCTAACAAATAAAATATGACAAATCAAACAAAACAGTGGCAGGTGCAGGCTATAAGGCAGAGTGCACCAAAATGCCAGGTATTGGTGCTTTTAAGCCATGAGATGGCAAACCCAGGTGCTCCCAGTCTATTATAACATTTTAATTACAATAACATTTTTGTCATTATTAGTATTTTAATATTTTTCCCATTATTTTAAAAAGCATTATGGTCTTTTAAAATGAATAAACTCTACACAAAAATTTACAGCAAGCAATTAATTGCTTGTTTATAAACCACAATTTTAAAATAAATTTAACGTTTACTTGCTATTATTTGTAGCTTAGAATTATGAAACATTATTTAAAAACCAAACACATTTAAGTGCATATCTTTATTTGTGATTTCTGTCATTTTCTTTAAGTGTCTCTTGAGGCTGTCTGTGTAAGCATTTGGTTCTCCAGCATCGCCACTGAGAATGGATTTAAGGCAATTGAAAGGACCTGGGCGCACACATGGAGGTCTGCTGAACTGCTCAACTACTCAGCCCGACTCCCAGGTCAGTGAGAAAACACTATGGCTAGTTGTACTCATTCCTCTCTGCTCTCTCTGTCACCTCAGACTCCAGTCACTGTGCACCACTTCCGGATCCCCACTCTGCTGCCTACTGAAGAACATTCATCCCCATACAGCCATCTCCCCTCTGACCCAGGCCTCATCTGCCTGGCTACTTCATCATTGACTGA